CCCCTCTAACTATCGAGGCATAGCGCTCTTAAGCAATATAGCAAAATTATTTACATCAATACTCAAATATCGTCTAGGCAGTTGGATCGAAAGGAGAAATATAGTTCCTGAGAACCAGGCGGGATTCAGGGCCGGCCACTCTTGTCAGGACCATATATATATATATATATATATATATATATATATATATTCACTCTATCATCCCTGATTCAAATGACTCTAAGCCGAAAGAGAAGAAAATGCTACATGTTCTTCGTGGATTTGAAAAAAGCCTTCGACACAGTGCCCCACTCATTATTATGGAACGCTTCACGATTTTGCGTGTCATCCTTGCGCAGGGGCCATGCTAATCTTCTCTGTATCGTTCCAATTTTAGTATATGTACCGCCGAACCAGAAAACTGGTAGATGCAAGTCTCAACCACCGTTTTGTTAACTTAATTAAAGATTATTACACAAATATGACAGCGGTAGTGCGATGGAACACAATTCATTCACTGCGCCAATAAAGGTGCGTTCGGGAGTTTTACAAGGGGAGCCGATGTCACCTTTTTTATTTATACTTTTTATAAATGATTTAATCGGTCTCTACAATAATTCAGATTTACCGGGAATATATCTCCCAAATTATGGATATGTTCATATTCTACTATACGCAGACGATATTGTCCTGATTGGAGAATCCAAAAATAACCTTCAAATAAAAATCAATATGCTAAGAAAATTTTTGAAACAAATTTATTAACCCTGAATAAGTCAAAAATTGTAGTTTTCAGAAACGGAGGTCGATTAGCACAAAATGACAAATGGTTTTGGGGTGAGCGGCAACTGTCTGTTACTACGAAATATCTATACTTGGGATATCCGCTTACAAGTGCAAATTCACTAAACAAGGTAGCGTCACACTACAAGGGCAAAGCCCTGGCAGCAAATGGCGCTGTGTGGCAAGTTCTGACAAAATCCAAGATGAACTCTCTAAATGCGGCAATGAGATTACTTGATTCGACGGTCTTGCCTCGCATGCTATACGCCGCACCCTGCTGGGCACTCAACCAAGTAAAGGTAGTTGACCAGGTTCAGAATATTTTCCTAAGACGCTACCTAAATTTACCAAAGTATACTCCGGGATTTATGCTAAGAATGGAGTGTGGACGAGTATCACAGGAAGTTATCATAACTAAACAGGGAAGTCGGTGGACGAGTGGGTAACCCCCTCGATTCCCGACAGTCATGAACCGGGATTGAATCCCGCGTTAAAATTTGTTTAATATGTGAATAACCTTCACATATTATTCAATGTTCAATTATCATGAACTAGGTTGCTCTTGCTGAGCGGTACCTATTTATGTGAATTTGAACCAGGAACTAAACAGGTCCTGAGATTTTGGGTGAGGATTATGAAAATGGTAGGGAGTAGGTTGCCCCGGGCATGTTTGTCACACCTCTGGACATTACACAGCAATCAAAGGGCTGGTTTAACCTTTGTCGAAAACCTGTCAACCATTTTAGACTCAAACGGTTTTTCCTTCCTGAAGGGTTGTCCGGATTACACTGCAATACTGACTGAAATCCCTGCTATTATTCGAATAGCAACCGAACAAAGCATCCAAAACGACATGGCGAAAATTCTAAATACTTCACATTACAGTCACTTCAAATACCTAAAAAATTCAATAACAGCAGAACGATATTTATTCACAACTATTCCTCTAGCAATTAAAATATTTTTTGCACAACTGAGACTCCTTTGGACGATCTTCCCAGAAAATCGTTCAAAGCGCTGGAAGATTGATTTGACTCTAACTTGCGATCTGTGTAAAAACAGAATCCAAGACGAAATTATGCATATAATATTTGGATGCTCTTGCTTAGAGAAACAGAGGAAAGAAATTTTGGGTGACTTACCCTGGTCTCAACCTGACTGCCAACAAATTTGCAGCTGGATGAACACACTGATGGTTGATCAGGGTCTCTCACTCGGTTTATATAGATTCAACAAGGCCGCAGTCAATGTCCGTTGGAGAATGATGGATTCGCCGAATGTCGTGGTTTGCTTGGAGGAAGAAAGCGAAGATTGAATGCGGCTGATTCCACACTAGCCCTCTCAATGATATCCTAACCTTGACATATTCTAAACATTGGTACTTTAATTTAAATATTTAATCATGTATGGTTCCTTTTGCTCTGTATGTTTATTTTTTGTATATATGGTTATATTTCTTTTTGTTTGTTTTTTCTTTCTTCTCTCTTTCCTTATTACTTCTTGTATTCTAGTTTTTACTTTTGAAATATCTTCCTTTCCTAAATCCCGTAGAGGGGAATCATGTATAGGGCTGGATGCCCCAATAAAAAGGCTTGTGTGTGTGTGTGTGTATATATATATGAATTTTGTTCTTTTTATTTTTGTAATTCTCAACCAGGTCTATATTAATTGGCTTTTTTTTTTTGCTTATTGTGTCTTTACAGTGGTATCTTCCAGTTGACTGTTACAAGTTTTAATATTATATATTGTCACACCCTTTAATACCACCATCACAGGTTTCAATTCTTGAAATATATATGAATAGGTCCCATTATTTTTCTATGTATAACTTAACGTTTTTTAAGTGTGGGATATATATATATATTAGATGATGTTGGCAAGAGTGGGTCAATAACAGAAGAATACAACATCAGAACGCCAGCAATCGACCAAGGGACACAAAAGAACAGGAGGAAAGAGCGATTGTCAGAAAGGCTGTCCCAGCACGGATTCGACGTCATATACCATCCAGCACACAAGGGTCAAAATTAACCTCAACAGAAGACTGAGAGAGCAGAATCTAAGAGCTCGCCCACCGTTATGATGCTTACTTATTCCTCACACCCATACAACACCAAATCCGACTAAAGTGTTCGTGATCGATCAACTTGGAACTGCGCTGACTGAGAACGTATAGTCTTTAGTGACAAGTCCCATTTCCTACTGTGTTCTGATAACCATTGCAAACAACTCTAGAGCCGTCCTGGGCAACGTGTGGATCCTGGCCTTACTTCAGACTACACAGGTCCACAACAAGGCGTTAGGACCTGGAGTGTCATTTCATTTAATAACAGGACTCCATTCCTGGAACCCTGACAGCACAAGACATTCTACGGCCTATTTAGTTGTTTTTCGCACATCACCCTGGGCTTACTTTTCAGCAAGATAATGCCCGGTCACACATGGCCCGTGTGTTACTATGGATAATTTTCAATTTTGCTGAACTCTTCCATAGCCAGCAAAGTCCCCTGATCTCACACTCATAGAGAACAATGGGACGTGATGGGGAGGCGATCATATCCATCTAGGAATGTTGACTATTAGAAGACAATATGTGGCAAGAAATCCTGCAGCAAACCATCTTGAATCTTTATCAGTTCATGACACGCTGGCTGGCAGCCTACATCCATACTAGTGGGGATCAAAGACATATTGAGTCTATCAATTTGTGATGGTCAAAAACTTTGGAATAAGACAATAAATTTTTTCTTATGAATTTAATTTTTTTTTACCCTATACATGTTCTTCACATACACAAATTGTTGTCCAAAACGGACAACTCCTTTTTGGTGCGTCGATTTTTTTTTTTGTTATAAGCGGTATAAATGAATATTTATTAATCCAATTATATTTTGCAGGAAAGGGGAATAATCATATTTAAATTTTAGTTTTTAATTGATCTAGTATACTGGAGTTTGAAGATTATATATAGGTGGCGATATTTTATCATTGAAACCATTTAATAAATATTGGTGATTGTTGAATATCAGAAAAATCAATCAAAAACCTAGTACTTTAGTAGCTCAGGAGGAAATAGATAAACTTCATTTATTTGAAAACTCTAACAGAGTTTTCAATGTATGTGTGTGTGTGTCCTTTATGCCTGACCAAACCACTCATTGGAACGCCATGAAACTTTGGGAAATTATTTAGTATAGTACTGGGAAGGTTTCTAGCAAATAAAATTTTTGAAATAACTTTATGCCTAAAAATAATCAAGATACATATTCTAATGTATCTGTTATAATTCAACAATCTGCTCTAAATATCATCATGATGATACGATAATTTTGTAATGTAGAAAATTAGGAAAGACAAAATTCAGGATGACACGGCAATTTATTTGAGACAAGAATAATGATACAATTCCAAGGCAAGATACTATTCCTTCAACCCCCAATTACCGAGGGAACCAATTAATATTGATTTTATTCAACTTATCGAGTATTTTTTCAATGGACCGGGGGGAAAAAATGTTAACTTTATCGATAGATTCGTTAGACAAACCTTTACTCGGGTAAAACCCGGAGGAAGCCGGGGTACATCCGCTAGTCTATATATATAAAAATGAATGTATGTGTGTGTGTCTGTTTGTTTGTTTGTTTGTCCTTTATGTCTGACCAAACCACTCATTGGATCGCCATGAAACTTTGGGAAGTTATTTAGCATAGTACTGGGAAGGTTTCTAGCAAATAAAATTTTTGAAATAACTTTTCGCCTAGAAATAATCAAGATAAATATTCTAATTTATCTGTTATAATTCAACAATCTGCTCTAAATATTATCATGATGATACGATGATTTTGTAATGTAGAAAATTAGGAAAGACAAAATTCAGGATGACACGGCAATTTATTTGAGACAAGAATAATGATACAATTCAAAGGCAAGATACTATTCCTTTAACTTCCAATTACCGAGGGAACCAATTAATATTGATTTTATTCAACTTATCGAGTATTTTTCAAGGGACCGGGAAAAAAATGTTCACTTTATCGAGAGATTCGTTAGACAAACTTTTACTCTGGTAAAACCCGGGCGAAGCCGGGTACGTCCGCTAGTTATATATAAAATATATATAAGCATATTATGTATGAAAGTATATATCTAACATTATATTTATCAGAGTCATCAATCAATTCTGTCACCGTTTGCTTTTGTGAATGCAATAAGTACCCAAATATGGCCATTTCTAATAAGCATCGGTGATTCAGTGGTACAATGCTCGCCTGCCGAGCGGGCGGCCAGGGTTCGATTCCCGGCCGATGCATTTTTTTTTTTTTACAATTTTTAAAACTCATTTATATTATTATTAAAATATACAAGTATCAGAGTCATCAATTCTATCATCGTTTGCTTTTGTGAATGGAATGCTTTTACCTAATATACGTAAAATACGTAACTAATATGAATGAAATATCAGCAGTATGTATAGTAGAATCTGGAAAAACTTATATTGAATATTTCAGGTCTCTATCCCGAATATTCTTCGAGTTATTTGCAAATTTGAGTTGGAAATTAGCTCTTTCGCTCGCAAGCAGCGCCTCTAGCGGTGAAGATGGGAGGTAATATCAGCTGACCTAATGTACATGTAAAACGTGTTTCAACAGGTCATAAAAAAAAATATGGAAGAGATATTTGTCGCATTTTTAGCCAGGAAAAATTGAAATTGACAGGTTCTGGGGAAAAATAGTTGTTGTTTTTTTCAAGTCAGAAAATGATTATGACAATATTGCTGTATCATATTTGATTATCAGATACAAAATTATATCCGGAAAAATTCCAAAAAGCAGAGACCACTGGTGAAGCCAGTTCATTTTTAGTATGCAGGAACAAAATTCTAACAGAAAAACATTCATTTGAGCAGAAGACACAAATCCAGATCATCTCTTTATAAAAAATATCGCTTCTCAGACACAAAGTTTGGAGCAGAACGTTTAACAAGAATGACATCCACGGCGCCAATTTATAATTGTGTTGGGGCACGTTTTTGTAACCATACCCCAACAGAAGGCGTATGTATAATCAACATAAAATGGATACATGGCTTCCCTCCCACATAGACTTATAGACCATTTTTTTGCCCAGAAACTTAGACACTTGGTGACACCAGACTTCCATGCCGAAAGCTGATGCCTGGTGGAGAAGAAGACACCAGTGACATCCAGAGACATCCGAGCTGGAAACTGTTGTTCCATATGTACATATATTCCCCTCATCAAAAATTTAGGTAGAGGTGACCAGAAGAAATGGAGAAGGAAGATTTCTAAAAGACTAAGCCTTATAAATATCCTTCCCGAAAAAAGGAAGCATCACATTACAGTCCAGGTAAAAGGGGCCTGGGTCGATTTTTAGCCAAGACGGGGGGCGATATATATATACCGTCCCGAGAAAAGGGAGGATCGTATTACAGCCCATGTGGAGGAGGCCTGGGGTCTGATGAAATTTTACACTATTGCCGTGGCTGTTTCTCTCTTTAGATTTTTTTTGTTTTGGTAATACTATATGTTCTATTTTGATGGGAGAGGCCTGGGGCTTCTGTGAAATCGTATCCTGGAGCCGTTGGCCATTTTGATTGGTGTTTCTTTAGGCGAATGAAAATGCCAGCCAATAGAAACTTTGGCGCGGCCAGCGAATGAAAACGGAGAGAGACAAGAATAAAAGAGGGTTTCTTTGCCAAAAGGCGGATTCAATCGGAGTCGCTCAGTGAGAGGACAGTCTTCAGTCGGGAGACCAGACCTTTGCCGGCACTTTCGAGAAAAGGTAAGCCATTTGTCATTATGACTTAGCGCCCCCCCCCCCCTTTTTGTGTAGTAACCAACCTAGATTTCGCATGGGCCCTAAAGGGCTTTAAAGTAACTTCAGGTTACCTCTATCTAGATTACTATGTAAATAGCATATCTCGTCAGTATAGACATGTTCCCAAATTTTAATTTATTTAAATAAATATCTAGAGAAAATTTCTTGTTTCCTCTCATACATATTTCATTCCTTTTGCTTTATGGTACTACCCCCACATCTTAATTTCACAAATTGTACTAAATATAGAACTTCCGACTCTGTTGGAATAGAGTTGTGTACTATATCTTTGCTGTGATATATTGACACAGCAACAGTTGCAAAATACGACTTTATTAGGGCTACTTTGAGGGTATCTATCTGTCAGGTTTTAGTAATGTTTGTACTTTTATGTGTTTCAGTGCGTTATTCCATCATATTTACCATTATACCATATTTTCTGATTCCTTGGGCTATTGTTACGCTGTTAGGAGGGTACGACATGATGCAAACAGATTTGTATGTTTGACTATTGTTTGTGTTATTTGGGCTATAAAAAATGCCTTAATATGAATCTATTTACAGTTGATCTGTAGAAATTATAGAGATCTGTTGCTATAATTTTCCTCTATGAAATAGCTCCCAGCGTCTTCAGTGGGTTGCTAAACCTCCAGAAGGAGTCTTTATAGATTGTCCAATTTAATAACGATTTCATGGGTTGTCTGATGAAATTGTATACTAGTGTCGTGGCTGTTTCCATCTTTAGACCTTTGTTCTGACAATATTATATGCTCGATCCCTGCTTTAGCTCAACTCTTAATCAATTACAGAGTTCCCCCCCCCCCTTTTTTTTTATTTATCCTGTTTGCACAAATTGCATTACATGTGATGATGTAAAGACATATGTCGATAGTGCATCATTGACAGCTGTGCTTCTATTATACAACATTAAGGTCTTGCTGCGGGTTATATACATGGGTTGTTGGCCTAAATTGCTATATATATATATATACTTAAGTAAGGAAACTTTAATAAGTCACATCGTGTATCCTCCCTTTTCATCTATCCAAACCGGGAAGCGGGAACGCAACAATTGTAACGGGCGTTGCCAGGTGCATAATATATTTAAAAGCATATCCTACTCGCTTAAGGCTACAATTTAGAGGGCAAATGTCATGTAGAAAAATTAGGGAAGACAAACATGAGATTGACTCATCAATTTATTTATGGCAAGAGCAATTTAAAATTTATAAATACCAGAGAGGTAACGAGGCAAGTGTTTTATATTTTAATGATCCAAAACAACAAGTTTAAGATTAAATACTTTATTCATTCATCATGCTAAAAAGGTTCACAAAATTCCTGTTCTCTATCGTTGGTCATTGGTCCATCTTCTTACTCCACAGAATAGCCCTTTAATATCTTGAATATTTACAAATTAGGTATATATAACAGCAATAAGCAATAAAAAGAGTTACGGCGATATATGATTCCCTCTTTCTAAATATATAACAGCAAGTTTACACAATATCAATATATATGTGAAAAATATAAAAAGAATAAAATAATAAAAGGTCTGGTGTTTGTTATTAAAATTTAAAAAATGCATATCCTGACCATGTTCAGATGAACTTTTAGATGGCAGAGCGCTATCTCTAGTGGAACAGAAAACAACTAAACTAAAATAATTAATATTTCGCTACATATATAGTTCCTTCCTTATTGGAGCCGTGACTCACAGATTTCAAATCTTGTTGCTACTTACATGGATCTGAAGTGCTTCTGCAAAGGATTTCCTTGGAGTCTTGGAACTTTATCCCTAGTACTTCAATGTCCTTTCCTTTTTCTTGTGGCGAAAAGAGTGTTTTTTCGTCGTATCCGTAGTATATAGGGACATCGTCATCTTGAAGGAAAGTCTAGAAGTGGAGGAAAGCGGCGGAATACTGGAATCAGTCTCAGAAAATGTAAATCACAGCCTCAAGATCTTCTCGTCGATTTTCTGCTTGTCTTCCCTTTTATAACACAGCATCTTCACCAAAAATGGAAAATTCCACGAAAATTGTTCTTATAAAAGTAAAACAAATATAAAACAAACATGGATTTAAGTTTATTTCACAATTCTTGACCAATTCATTTTGTTGATTGATTGAAAAAAGCCAACCAGGGCTATTGACCCTCGCCAGTATGGAGCAGGCTGTACCTTTCACACGCACTTACTTACACACATGCACGTACGCACAAATACCTATGCGCACACATTTATTTGAAATATCCAAGTATCATTTCATCATATGAAAATATAGCCTGTTGCAATAGGGATTTATTCATGATTTTGCCAACCTTTTATCTATATCAAAAGTGGGATATTTATAATTATTCGAATAATGTATATTTATTATTTACTTTTTAAAAAATATAAACATCCGGCTAGATAAAGTTTTATTTTCTTATTTACTGTCATTTATATTTTTCAAGACATTCATTTTATAAGAAAGTGGCATTTTAAACATTTATAATCGATTTTTATTTCGAACACTTTCTAATAGTGCTCATTTTTAGCGAATATTTTATTTAATTGTTAAATTCTTATTATTATTAAATGTGAAATATGTGCGATGTTATAGATAAATTAATAAATTTTGACTATAGTTCCATAATATTTTCCTATAAAGGTCATTTACTATTATTGTAAACATGTTTGTCGGCATCATTCTAGATTTTGATAAGTTTTTGAAAGGCATATTTGACGTAAATTTATTACATACTTTATAACCATTTATCGCTCTTAATTAAGTTGGCCTTAATCTAAAACTGCCACCATTTTTTAGGAACAATACCGGTAAGTAATTACATTTTTGCATACTTTTTTTTTTTAATTATTTAGCAACAAAGAGAGAAATGAGGTGGAAATTGCAAAAAAATATTTTTTTTTTCGAATTTCAGATGTAAATAGTATTTTAAAACTTTTATATATACAAATCAGTAGATATTTTTCATGCACACAGATTATCTAAATATTTTTATGGCAAGCAAATAAGAAATATATATATTTGACAATAAGTTTAGCATTTTTTGTTTCAAACCAAAACATAAGGACATAGCAATTATAGAAGCATAATCTTATCTTTATAAAGGTATTTTGTCTGATTCCATTAACTCTTAAAATATCACAAATACATGTGCTTAAGATGCTCTTTACACAATTAATAATAATAAAATAAAAAACTAATCAAATTTAAAGACATTTGCTAACAAAAGAACAACATATAGGGTATTGCATTATCCACAACCCAGATGGGTCTTTGTAGTCATGTAAAAGAGATATTTAGCATGAGAATTTAATGTTAGGTCTTTACTTTGCAGGTGGATTGCCGATGTCAATACTGGAGTGTGAATAACCCAATTTATCTGCCAACATTTTAGGACAAATTTTAATTATGATTTTTTTTCTTGGGGGCTTCTCAGGAGCCAAAGAAATAACATTCAGAGCCT